AATGACAACTAATGATAATTTGTGTCAGAGTGTGTATGAATGATAGTTCCTGTCTGCATGGGAAACACTTGATCTTTAAGTCCCTTGATACCCTTCTCTGATCCCCTGCTGTTTGCATGACTGTGTGTGTATGCATGTGCATCTGTTTGTATGCTGGGTGAAGGGTGGGGGGAGAGTGGGCACTTATTGATAACTTAGTCTGAAGGATAGGAAAAGTATAAGTAGCAGTGTAAAAAGTATGACCTGCATTTTAAAATAAGATCTGATACTGGTTATTATGTTGTTTGATATGTGAAGATAGTGACAGTGGAAAACCCCAAAGTTAATATTTAGATAAGTGAACATTAAATAAGAAAACTATAATTATTCTATTAGTTGTTTGTGTATTGAATTATAGGGCTTGATATCATATCCTTGTCAGATATGTGTATGGTTCCCAAATATTTGTCCATTTGATGCACAAGCATTTTACATTTTGGTGAAGTCCAATTTGTGTGTGTGTGTGTGTGTGTGTGTGTGTGTGTGTCTTTCTCACTCTTGCTCTTCCTTTCTTGCTTTCCTTTATGGCTTGTGCTCATTATCAAAAACAAGTTCTTGAAGGTTTATAAGAGTTAGGTGATTTTAGTTAGTCCTTATATTTAGGTCATTGATCCATTTGGTGGTAATTTTCATATATGGTCTGAAATGTGGGTCCAAGTTAATTCTTTTGCATGTGGCTATCTAGTTGTACCAGCACCATTTAGTGAAAAGACTACATTCCTCATTGCATGGACTTAACCCCCTTTTTTGGAAAAATCAATTAGCCATAAAGGTGCATATGCTCTGCTTGTGAACTCTCACCTATACTGTAGTCCATTTTTCTATACCCACCACCATTGAGTTGCTGTTGACTCATAGTAACACTATAGGGCAGAGTAGACTGCTTCTTTAGTTTTCCAAGACTGTGAATCTTACAGCAACACAGACAGCCTCATTTTCCTCCCATGGATTAGCGAATGGCTTTGAAACACCAACCATGCAATTAACAGCCTAATTATATTAGGTTTAACCCATTACATTACCAGGTCGTCTGTTATTCTGTATGTCTACCCTTGTATCAATAGCAGACTATTTGTGTTATTGTAGCTTAGTAGTTTGATTTAAAAGAGAAAACTGTGGATTCTTCTGCTTTGTTCTTTCTTTTTTAATTGTTTTCACCATTTGGGATCACTTGAAATTTTACACTATTTTTAGGACTGACTTTTCCATTCCTGCTGAAAAACTAACATCTGAACAATATTAAATCTATTTAATGGTATTTCAGTGGATCAAATCAAGTAGAAGGTTTGGAATTGCCTTGGAGGATTAATAGAAACAACAGCAGCCGTGATAATGATGGCTGCCATTACTGTGCATCTTGTGCATGCTCTCTGATTTTGTCTTCCTGTTGGGTTTTGGCTAGTGGGTGCTATCTCCATTGAAAATGAAGAAGTTGCTGTAAGAGAGAGAAGTGCAGTCAACTTATTTTGAGGATTTCAAAGGAAAAGAGTAGTTGCTTTTAGTGGAATTAAGAGAGTACTTCCTGGACAGGGTGAGATTTTGGATTTTATGGAAATATTATTGAAATGTCACAGAAAAATAGTCTTTTATGGTGAGAGTGGCAAGACCAGGAGGGTGGAGGGAAGGTGGGCTAGAAAGGGGGAACCGATCACAAGGATCTACATATAACTCCCACCCTGGGGGATGGACAACAGAAAAGAAGATGAAGGGAGAGGTTGGACAGTGTAAGACATGACAAAATAATAATAATTTATAAATTATCAAGGGTTTATGAGGGAGTGGGGGGTGAGGAAGGAGAGGAGAAATGAGGAGCTGATACCAAGGGCTCAAGTAGAAAGAACATGTTGTTTTGCTTTTGTCTTCTGTGCAGACATCTCATTCCTCGTTGAGTCTCTTTTGGAGAATGTGTAGATATTTTAGAGTGCTCTGTAAAAAGGACAAAGCTATTCCATGCTCCATCATATCACCACTCCCTGTTATTCATTCTCAGCCCTAATTATGCTTAAAGCTGACTTTGTGTACCAAGTTTGTGAAGAGAACCCACACCGTAACATGTATTGGTTCTCCAAGTTATTCAGTGCTGCATCGCCTGGGCAGAACTCATTGTTATTAAAGTATCATGAGGATTTATAATAAAACGTTTTGAAAGATAGTATTGTTCATCTTTCTGCTGTAATATGACTTGTGTTTTTAAATTACCTTGCCTTTTTGAATGAGGACACTAAGGTTAGGACAGACCACTGAAAGATCACTGTCACTTTTAGTCAGATCTCAAACAAGTGCCTGAAAAGAGAGCGGGTTCCACTCGGGCACATGGCTGAGCACCCTGGAAACCACCACAGCAGGAGGGTGCCCAGAGCCATGGGAACGCACTTGTGACTCTTTCACATCCAGTGGGTTCCCGTGGGTGTGGAGTTCTGGAGGGAAGCTGCTGCTAGAAGGAGACAGGGAAGTAGCAAATTTGCCTCACCGTGTGGGAACAATTGATAAAAGTTCTTAAAATGTGTCGCAAAAGTGTTCTGTGGGCAGTATAGTAGTTAAATTGATTGCTTTTCCCCTGGCTACTGAAGACTTCGCTCTCGACCTAACTGGCTGTGCTGTCCAAGAAAGAACACGGATGGACCAACCCAACTCCACTGATCCTGACTTCTTTTCCTTACCCACCAATTGAGAATGGGCAACTTTTCCTAAAACACATGTCGTGGCAGAGCATACACTCTTATTTCCCATAGTTGTGCTTTTCCTTAGATCAGTGGTTCTCAACCTTCTTAATACCGCGACCCTTTAATACAGTTCCTCATGTGGTGACCCCCCAACCATAAAATTATTTTCATTGCTACTTCATCACTGTAATCTTGCTACTGTTATGAATCGGGCTGAGAACCGCTGCTTTAGATACATGTTTTTAGTCCCTCATTTTTCTTCTCACATTGGGCTGTTAGCTACAAGGTCAGCAGCTGGAAACCCCAGCCACTCCTTGGAGAAAGAGGAGACTCTCTACTCCTTTAAAGAGTTATGGGCACGGGAACCCACAGAGGTGGTTCTACTCTGCCATGCAGGATTGTTAGGGGTCAGAATTGACTCATGGCAGTGAGTTTGGGGTGCATATATACATACCTATACACACACACCTACATACTCGTAGCAACTAAGCACTGATTATTCATATTCTGGAATCTTCACCCATTTCCCAATCCTTTTCCTTCTTAACCTTAAGTAACTGTAGCGAGAAGGTGCCCTGAGAGATGTAGTAGCCTTGTTTAATATGGGAGGCATACAAGGGTTGGTATTGAAGGATGGGCATTTTGAGGAAGAATGGGAGGTGAGTAAAAATATAGTGAATGGGGAAGAGAAATTGAAAAGCAATTAAAGGGGAGAAAAAGAGAAAAATAGCATTATTTAAATATTAATTTTTATTTTATTCACTATTAACCAGTCAGTCAAAGTAATAAAGAAATTCCTATTTAGTAAATGTTGCTAGCAAGTTATATAAAATATACAAGAGGAAGAGAGTATTATTTAAATGTGAATTTTTATTATTCACTATTAACCAGTCCATGGGGGTGATAAATTCCTAGTGAGTGAACATTGTTGATGAACCCGGGTAGTGGGAGCAGGTAACTGGTTTGGCTACTATGTGAAAGAATGGAGGTTACACCATGCCTTGGGAGAAAGGCCTAACAGTGTACTTCCCCCAAATCAGCAACTGAAAATCCTATGGGAACACAGTTATATTCTGATATTCATGAGGTCACCATATCGCATGTGACATGACAATAACTGGTTTGATGGGTTTTGTTTTTATTTAATTGCCAAGTCACAGTACTGGGAACTTAGCTTCTGTTATCTCAGATATCAGATTTTAAAATAAAGCAGAGAGAGAAGAACATAGAGATTAATTTTTTTAAGTCTACTTACTATCTAGAATGAAGAACACATGTTAATGTTTTGTCTTTTGGCTCTGCATGTTTTTTATTAAACCATGTTGATATAGAAATAGAAAATAACCTCGAATATGAAGTGTCCTTGTACCTCCTTCCGGTCATTCATTTTCTCTCTCCTCACAGGCAAGAGCTATAGGGACTTTTTGTGTATCCTTCTAGCTCATACTTTTATATGAGCTAGAATTTCTAGGTCATGAGATACCGTTTTATCCACCTCATTTGTCTAATTTAATTCTTACACGTGTTTATTGAGTCAGGTAACTTGATCTCCATTGTACATAGAAGAAAGCTGTGTTGAGATGCTGTATTACTTTGCCAGCTTCACAAGAGAGCCAGTAACTCAAGTCTAGATCAAATTCCATTCATTTTAAACCAAAAGCAGCCCACAAAAATCTTCAGCTTTTAACCTGATCATTAGAACAGTTCCAAGCAGCCAGTGATACCACATGATTTCACATTAAAGAGGCCCTGTACTGAGTTGGGGTACAGGGTGTAGATAACAGAGGAAGTCAATAATTTTTTGTCGCTATCAAAGGGTTCACATTTTTAAGTAAACGCTTGCTCTCTGAAATGATGGGTCTGAGTTTTCTGTAAATGCAAGTCTGTTTCTTTTCTTTTTTCTCTTTCTTTTTTAAATTTAATTTAATTTTTTATTTTATTGGGGGCTCTTATAGCTCTTATCACATTCCATACATATATCCATTGTGTCAAACACATCTGCACATGTGTTGTCATCATCTTTTTCAAAACAAGTCTGTTTCTTGATGCAGATGTTTAGAATGATTATTTGCTCCTAAAAATGCACATACTAAGTACAGTGTCCTACGCCTTTTTTATTTTAAAAATTGATCATGACAGGGAGCGTGAGAGTCTGTACTTTACTTTTATGAAGTATGCAGAGTGTTTTCTCCTGGTTCAGAAACTCTCTGGCATTATTTCCTTGGTGCTTTATTAACACTGGAGCCGTTTGTCTTTGGGAATTGATTTTTTGCTTTTGTTCTTTGCTTCAACGTGTAGGGAGAAAAGCAGGTGTATTAATTGTGAAAATTCTGGAGCTGCATGAGGAATGCTCCCTGCAGGTGGCCATGTGTGAGCAGTTGGAAGGGCTAAAGCCTGACAGCCCCTCTCCAGGTGTGTCCCCTGGCCCCAGGCCCTTCCTGAAGGTTCTCTTCACCAAGGAGACTGCAAGCTACCTTAAGGGACGTCCCCAGGACATCGTACACATCTACCCTCCCTGGTGAGTGCAAGTACTCACTCTGCTAACCACTGATTATGAGTTGTTGTTTTTTTTAAAAAAAGACATTGTTATCAGTCACATGCTTGTCACTTTATTATAGAGAAGTGCCAGGGGAAGGAAACCGGGCTCGATGTCGGGCTTGTATAGCAGAGGTTCTGATTGGTCTCTCGTGGCAGCTTTCTGCTTTTGGCAGCAGATTTTTTCATGATTTGAGGCGGGGGTGGGAGGGGACCAACTATGCCAAATTCCTGAGTAAGAGTTGTACTATGAAAAGATCCAGCTGTTCTATTGGATTTTGTTTTTACCTTTCCTCGAAAAAGAATTTTTAAAACAAACATTATGTAGCAATAGGTTACCATACCAAATCAAGCCTATTGTCATTCAGAGAAATACAGAAAACAGGGTAATGCACTTTAATTCAGTAGTTCTTTGTGAGTCATTTTGTGCTTAGGAATAAAAAACATGAATTAAGACACAATGAGGTTTGATCTCAGGGAACATAAATGGACATTAATACTATGATTTTTCTTCTGAATAGTATTTAACTTCTCCCTTGGCAGGGGCAGAGGGAGCCTTAGTACTTTTGAGCAAATGTATGCGCAGTCCTTAATTTTATTTGCACAATGTAAAAGTTTAATATTAATCTGTTAAATGTTTATAGTTAGAATCTACTCTAAGGCTAGCTTCCCTCCTAGAAGAGGGATCTTTTGTTACATACATAGCACATGATCATCAGCATCTACTAAAATTTTCTCTAATAACAACTACAAGCAGCAGAGAGAAACTTCAATTATTTTTAATACATTTTTAATTAATCTGTAAAAAACATGCAGGAACAGGCACAGCCTTTAACTATGCATTTCATTAAGAATCACAAAGTGAATACATATGTATAATTGCTACCCAGCTCAAGTAATTGATGCTGTCACCCCCTGCAACCACCTCCAATTACTTCATATCCCTCAGGCCCTCTGGTAGCTACTGCTGTGGCTTCTAATACAGTAGATGCCTTTTCGCCCTTTGAGAACTTTACGTAGCCCAACCCAGGAGTAGCCACACAGTTGCTGTTGTTGTCAATAGGTGCTATCAAGTCAGCTCCAAATAATAGCAACCCTGTGTACAGCAAGCCAAGCATGGTCCACGTCTGCACCAGTCAGTCTGCACACGTGGGTAGAAATCTTCGATTCTTCGTCTTTGCCTTTAACGGCTGGTGTGTGAATTTGAATAACAGTTGTATTAACTAGCCTCCTTGTAAGTATATGGATATTATCCTGTCCCTGACAGGACATACTTCGGAATCTTGAAATGTTCTTTTTGACAATGCGCGTTATACCATTCCTCTTCAGTTTTTCATTCCCATTGTGGCATTGAGATCTTTGGATCTGAAGATCTTAGTTCTATAGGTCCGAATACTCCCATCCTAGAGACACAGGATTGATTCCATTGCACTGGCAGTTAAGAATGCCCCCTGGACATTCTGGACTCTGTGTGCACAGGCATGGGAGGGTGTGACTAAACTGAGTAGTGTGATTGATCCTGTTTACCAAAGGTAAATTGGATTGGTATTTCATAATGGAGGCAAAGAAGAATATGTCTGGAATTCAGGAGATTCCTTACATCATTTCTTTGTGCTACCATGTGCCCTTTATCTAAAGAAACCCCATTCTGACATGACTACTCATGACCCAGACCCTTCAGAAATGAACTCATGGGTCACTCCATGAGGCAAAAAACCATGATTGGATGAGGTGCTTGCAGAGAGCAACGGAAATACTAACTAGATGGTGAAAGAAGGCCATTCTAAAGAGCAATCATGGCCTTATAGTTAGTTGCAGAAACTAGGACTGTACTTGTTTTGTTTTTTAATAAATCATATTATTCAGGGCTCTTACAGCTCTTATAACAATCCATACATCAATTGTATCAAGCACCTTTGTACATATATTATCATCATTTCCAAAACATTTTCTTTCTACTTGATCTCTTGGTATCAGCTCCTCTTTTCCCCCTCCCGCAACACCCCCCCATGAACCCTTGATAATTTGTAAATTATTTTTATTTTCATATTTTACATTGTCTGCTGTCTCTCCACCATGTTTCTGTTGTTTGTTCCCCTGGGTGGGTGGAAGGGAGTGTAACACGTCAATTATTGCCATCAGTTCTCCTTTTCTCCCTCTTTTCGCCCTCTTTTCCCCCTACCCTCATGGTGTCTCTACTCTCATTATTGGTCCTGAGGGGCTTATCTGTCCTGGATTCTGTGTGTCAAGAGCTCTTATCTGTACCTATGTACATGCTCTGGTCCAGCCAGATTTGTAAGATACAACTGGGGTCATGATAGTGGGAGGGAGGAAGCATTAAAGAACTAGAGGAATGTTGTGTGTTTCTTCAGTGCTATACTGCACCCTGACTGCCTTGTCCCTTCCTTGTGACCCTTCTGTGAGGGGATGTCCAGTTGTCTATAGATGGACTTTGGGGCTCCATTCCAACCCACCTTGTTCGCATCGAAATGGTTGTTTGCTTCGGGTCTTCTGATCCCTGATCCCATCCACACTTTGTGACCACACAGGTTAGTGTGCTTCTCCCATGTGGGCTTTCTTGCTTCCCTGCTAGATGGCCATAGGACTGTAATTCTTGTAAATATTCCCACTTGTATGTTTGAATCAAATGTTTTCTTTTGTTCATTTATAAAATATAAGTGGAAATAGAATTGGTGCATTTTCAGTTGTACATATTATAGTTGCATCACGTTGGATCCAAGTATGATTTTATTACTGCCCTTATTTGGAAATGATGTATAGTTAAAGGGATGTTTAGAAGTGCCAAGTGTACAAAGAAGGAACTGTGATCGCTGAGTTTTGTGTCAACGTGGCTGGGCCATGATATTCAGTGATGCGGTATAGCATAATTTATCAACTCCATGATAGACTGCAGTGCAACTGAAAGTGAGTTTCTTTGAGGGTGGAGCCTACTCCAGTGTAAGCGGACGTTGGCTCTCTTGTCACTGGTCAGGATAATGAATCCGTCAGATCGGCCTCCAGTTCTTTGGACTGGAACCATAGTGCCTGCTGACCCTGGAAGCTAGCAATAACCTGTCATATTGCCTACTGACCTGGAACTCATTAGATTTAACAGCCACAAGTCTTAACCACTGAACTGCTTCTACCAGCCTCTGGTCTTTTTGTTTCCTAGTTTGTCAGTCTTGGCAGACATCTGAGTCAGAAAAACCCTCCAGCTTCACATCTAACCCAAGGACTTGAAGCAGACTGGACTTAACTGCTTCTAAATCTGTGTGAGCCACTATCTTGATATAATTTCTTTTACATATTTTTGCTTCACTATGGAACCTAGCCTAAGACACCTGGCACAGAAAACCTTATGATTGTCCAATTTGACATGGCAGTAAGCTCACTAATGCCAAAGACATTAATATTTATGTGTTATATTTCATATTTGATGACTTCCAATATTCTTAACTTTATATTTTGTACATTTCAAGTTTCTTTATTAATGGATGCTTATAGCTCCTTCTTCTCAGTTTGAATCATCCCACATTAGCAAATGACGATCCCCAAAGCTTTAGCCCATCCGTGTTATTAACGTCAACTCTGCTTTGAGGACGTTTTTCTCATCAAATCATTGTTTGAGTGTATTACAACCTAAAGGGTAATGTTCCAGCACTGTCTCCATGTTCCACTGCTGTTCATATGATTTTCACGGGCTTAGACATGGAGCATCTCACTGAAAGATCAGCATCAGTTTCCCTGCTGGAGAAAGATGAGTCTATCTTGTCCCATAAAGTTTTACGCGGGGATACCAATAAAATACAAACAAAAGCAGAAAAAAGCTCTGCTGGGCAGAACTTTACTAGTACACATTTTTTCCCCGGCTAAGTGAGCAACAAGCAACTTGCTCTGAATTAGTGCAGCCAGAGGCATTACCTGGGAAGGTTCTCTCTGGTCGCAGTAAATTTTTTTGTAAAAGCAGTTTAGCTGGAATCTCTTTTTTTGTGATGCCCAATTTAAGAGAACAGTGTGTGACTGTGAAATTTTGTTTCCTGCTCTGGAAAAATGCCACAGAAACTGTTGTGATATTGAACACAGCTTAAAAGGACAGTTCTATGGGAAAAACTCAAGTGGATGAGTGGTTTTCTCATTTCAAAAAGGTGAATTGTCGACTGATGACAGACCTCGTTCTGGATGTCCATCAACTTCCCAAATGGATGAAAATGTCAACTCAGTACATTTGGAGTTCATTCCACGAGGTCAGACTGTTAATCAAGCTTTTTATTTAGAGGCTCTGAAAAGATTGTATAACAGTATGTGACAAAAAAGGCCTGATTTGTGGCAGATGGGGGACTGGTTTTGCCACCACGAAAATGCACCTGCTCACACAGCCATCTCAGAGTGCCAGTTTTTGGCAAAAGACAGCATACCTCTCTTGCCCCGTGCACTTTACTCACCTGACCTCGCACCATGCAACTTCTTTTTGTGTCTGCGAATGAAATGAAGAGAGACATGAAAGGACCGTGGTTTGATGACACAGAAGAGGTAACGGAAAAAATGAGGGAGGTGCTGTCAGCTATCCAAACAGATGAGTTTGAAAAATGTTTCCAGAATGGAATCACAGATTTCACAAATGTATAAAGTATAATGGAGAGTACTTTGAAGGTAATAGGTTGTTTTGTAAAAAAAATTTAAATACATAGCTTTGAAGAAAAATTACATTTTGGGGGGTACTCCCTCAGATACATATCTATATTCATACCTATTTATAATTTTTACTTTCTTCTCTCCTCTTTTTCTTTTTTATTTCCTCCTACCGCACTTTCATGTTTACCCATAATTTACCTCTCAATAATTCCTCTCAGGTACATTTCACATGACCAAACATGACCAGGAACACTATACCCTTTACACCATCAGTTTTAGAACCCTGGCTATTCCCCTATCCCTGTTGTTATTGGCTCACCACTCAGCCATTTCAGGAAATAGCAGATGATC